AAATTTGTTTCTGTTCATTTTCTTGATCTTTCTTCAACTTTCAGGCCGGAATTCCAAAATCAATTTCACTTTACAATTCATTGAAGCACTTTCTAACAGCTATACCAGGTGGAGTGGTCTGTCCCCAAAAAAAAAAATTTTTTTTTTTTTGAGTCGCGAAATTAAGTGAAAGTTAAGATTATACTCGATAATTTTTCTTCTTTTTTTTTTTGAGGAGATAATTTGTTTTATTCGAACTTGGTTCCTGCATAATCTAGATTTTAAGTATTATTAGTCAAGAAATTTTTCGCACACACTAGCCATCAGTTTTTGTTTTTTTATTTTTTTTTAAATTACACTAGCTAGCCATCCGTTAATTAATCCAAGCTGTCAATACAGTCAACCACTTCATTATGGTGTTGGCGGTGGCTTATGTCTTTTTTGTAGTCTTTGAGCTGCCAAATAGACCTGGTCACTTTCCCACAAATCTCATTATTCACTTCCTAAACAAGCATTAACCTTTTAAAACGGTTACATCCACGTACATAGCTAAATTTTAATCTTAATTTTTTGTTTAATCGAAAGCCTAAATATGGCCATTTACATCTTAGGAAAAAAAATGTACAAGTTAATTGGCATTCTAGCAAAAGCAATTATTCCTTTCTAAACGAATACTTTAGATTTTTTTTTTTTTTTTTTTTACATCAAGAATGATATATAGATTAGCTCCAGTTATAATGTTTGCTTCCTCAAAAATCACAATGAGATCATTTATTTCTGCTTAAATGTTAAAATTAATCAATCAATTTTTTTGGCCTTATGAACTGTTTCTCCACAACTTTTTTTTTTCTTCTTTTTATTTATGCATGCAGGATGTTTCTGGTTGGACTGAAACGATTTGGAAGAGGAGACTGGAAGAACATATCAAAGCATTGTGTGACTACAAGGAAACCAAGCCAAGTTGCCAGCCATGGCCAGAAATACTTCAGGCGCCAAAAAAGTTCTACTCCAGAAGACAAGCGCCGTTCTAGCATTAATGACATCATTGCAATTGACCCAGACTTTGTTGTGCCTCATTACACTTTCCCAAGCCTTGAACGAGAAATTCCCAGTTATTCTACTTCTACTGGCCAGCCTGAAATTGCCTTGCCTTCAGAACCCGACCGAAGCTACGATGTTGAAGAGTTACTCAATTCAACAGAAGCTAGCACATTCCAACTTGAAGAATTCCCTCCTGTGGATGAAGCTTTCTTTGAAGACCCTTCATTTTACTTTCTTCCACCAGATGCAGCTTATCCAGGAGCAACAATCAACAAGGAAAATCATGGGCAAGGACCCAAGAACTAGTAGTTTAATGCTACTAGCTAAACAGGAATCTCAGAGGGGTTAAAGGAACAAGCTTTAAAACATGCTAGGGGTCTTTCTTTAATTTGCATGTGATTGAAAAGGACTAGGATCTTATTCTCCTCTTATGTTTTGAATATTTGCTATGACATCGATTTCTGGGATTTTGTCTTTGATGAAGAATTGATTCTCGATGTGGTACTTCGCATTGGAATGATTGCATGCTTTTGTGATGGGCAATTGGGAAGTATCTCTCTTAATCTTGAACACTGTACTTGATTTATCATCTTGCTTGCAATGTCCAAGTCAGTGTTCGGCCCAGTCGGCAAAGAGAAACTAGGGCAAATTAGCTTTCATAGACAAAGTGACAATTTAATTAAGCTGACTGTCGTAATAGGACTAGCATATAGGAACATAGTCTGATATGTCAATGAAATTCACCAGACTAGCTTTCTTGGTTGGAGAAGAAATTGAACCAATTAGAAACATGGTTCGTCATCGCAAGTCGCAGTCGCATCGCGGTCTCAGTTGTTCCACATCTGTAGTGACATATGGGTTAAATATCGAGTAATACGCACATTATAACACATAGTCTGATATGTCAATGAAACTCACTTTCTTGGTTGCAGGAGAAACTGAACCAATTAGAAAGGCCAGTTTCTTGACAATATCTCATGACTGCATTTCTATGTTGCCCTGACGATCTTTTATGGCTTTCAAGCAGAAATCAGGGATTTTATTGATGCACCAAAGTATTTACAATCTAGAAAGGGGCATACCCCTTAATTATCACGTCCGGAATCTAGCTAATGATTATGCTACTAATATATACAACTTCAATTCTCAAAGCGCAGGTGAATCCCTAATTTACTTGCTAGACTCTTCCTAGCTAACTATCATTCATCAAGGATCTTTAGTCCTTTACCTCTCACATCACAAATCTTGTTGAGTTGGAACTGGATGTGATCAAATTGGAAATATCTTGTGGCCTGCCTTCATCATTGGAAAAAACATAAGCAACCTTTCATGAGCTGATTATCGCGAACTTTCGTGCCCTCTTCTAGTATTGATGCCCGCAAGGATTCTAAAACATTCACCACCTCTGCCATCTCCGGTCTTCTTTTAGGGTCTGCGTCCCAACAACGTTCCATCAACCTGGATAGATTCCTTGGACAATGCTGAGGTATTATCGGCCTAAAGCTGGTAGAGAAATCCGGTTTGTCACAACAATATATCTCCCACAAGCAGATCCCAAAGCTGAAGACATCACACTTGTGATCATAAGGACTTCCTACTAGAACCTCAGGAGCCATGTAACCCACAGTCCCTTGGGCCGATGTCATCTGACCAGGATTCAGATCCTCAAATCTTGAAACCCCAAAGTCAATGATCTTCGCTCTTCGTCCTTCTTTATCAAGAAGTATATTCTCCGGCTTCACATCCCTATGAACAATCTTCTGGGAATGAAGGTAAGACAGCCCTTTTGCAACTTCTAAAGCAAGCCAAATAACAGTATCGAGAGGCAATTTTCTACACCTTTTCCTTCTGAGGAAGGATCTCAAAGTACCACCATGAACATATTCAGCCACCATGCAACAAGCCATTCTTGGCATGCAAGATTTACCTCGTCCTTGTTTATTTATGGTCAGGTTTGCTGCCTTTTTGGTTGCTCCGATGAATCTTGCTATGTTAGGATGATCCAACTTGTTCCAAATCAATACCTCCTGAATAAAAGCATTCCAAACCCTAGCTTTGTAGTCGCCCACCATGTCAAGAACTTTGACGGCCACTTGTTTACCATCGTAAACACCTTTGTAAACTGAACCAAAACTACCACTGGCTATATGATTCTTTATGATGAGTTTATTGGAATCGGCCTCCAGAACATGATTCAAGTCCGATGCTTGGTGACTTGAGCCTTCTTGCTTAGCCCTAGTCTCTTCCATCTCTTTGTCGATCTTCGTACGCTGGCGAATGGCTGAATAATCTCTTTTTCGTGTGTTTTAGTTTTATATATAGGAATTAATAGCGACGAAAATATCTGCATTATGGAAATTCATCATATTTCCTAGTAGGTTTCGGAAACGCATAGAATTATGTTATAGGAACCGACCAAGTTGGTCTTCTGGCTCTCCTGTCCAATCCAAATCTAACAAATTAGCTTAGATATATCACCGTTATATGGCATAACACTCTTGTTCATTAAATTCAATTAAAAATTAATTATTGTATAGTTAATTAAATGTATGAGAAAAAAATCCCGTTCAGGTTTAATTTATCAATGTGATCTTATAGCTCAGTGCAAAAAAAAAAAAAAAAAAATTAGGGCTCGAAGACAAAAATTAAATTACTTTCTTTAACCTCTGAACCTCATATCCAAAAAGATTGCAATTAGAGCTGGAAGACAAAATTCAAGTTACTTATCTTTAAATTGAGCTCCTCATGTTAGGATTGATTTATAAATCTAGTCAAACGAAACTTTCTGCTCATTAATTTTTAAGCTCAACCAATTATACACATAAATTTAAGAAATTTGTATAAATACACCAAACAACTTGACATCTACATTCTGATGTATCAAGCAACTTCCTTTGTCATGATCTCATGCCTTCCATTGATTTTATGTGCTACATTCGGTTTTGTCATCAGACTTTGTATAAAAGCTAAACTTTTTTAACTCTTTTCGACTTCTTAAATTCCACCCCTCTCCTCTCCTGATAGAAGAAAACAAAAAAGAAAAAAAATTGCTAAACTTTCTTTGTACCCTACGTGGTTAAACAAAATTTATCATCTTTTCATCTTCAAACTTACCAGATCAGCATAAATTTCTCCTTATTTGGTTTGCGAAAAATTTCTTTCTAACAATAATGTAATATATCAAAAGATCTCCTAATACGATGTCTACCTCTCTTTTTTTTCTATTTTCTCTCTTTTTTATTATCAAATCATGCTTAACAAATCCCACCAAACCAAAATTAAAGAAAATAACTAGAAACAATTTTGAATCTATAGGCTCACCTAGAGTTTGGGAAAAACAAATTTTGTTGTTGCTTCAAGCAATATCTTATTCAATTCTTATTCTTCATCGCTATTCATCTAAAATTGAGTGTGTCAAATAATGAAAGAATAAATATCTTGATTTGGGGCACAGCAATACAGTTTAAATTAACTGTAATATATTCTTCAAATGCATGAAAAAGAATTTGCAGTTTTGAATATGTTTTGCTGCATCCATTTAGAATTCTTGTGTTGACATTTTCCATACTAATGCACTTGGAGTTTCGAACCTCAAAGTTTATAGTATCATATTGAAAAGTGTACTACTTTTTTAAATAAAGTTAAAGATTTAACATTTTTGTGGAGGAACATTTTTCTTCATTCAAATTCTTTTAATGAAAAAGTTTTTGGGCCGTACAAAAGTTTAGCTCCCTAAAAAATGTCAATTAGTTTTGAAGTTCAATCCCCCAAAATGTTAAAAACTGTGGCAAACAAACACACAAACGAACGAGGATTAACAAGTCGAATCAGCTAAATGGGCCCAGGAAAAGGAATCAAGGAAAGGCCCAAAACGGGAAAAAGAAGTGCCGAAAATTAATTGCCAAAGAAAAGTCGTTAAATACGACACCGTTTTCAAGGCAAATTTAAGGCTGAGCTTTCACGAAAGCGAAAACCCCTTCACAGTGTCGGTTCCGAGAGTTGTGGAATTGTTGGGGTTTAAGCCTCCTTAAGACCAGAGAGATCCATCCACTTTCCTGAACCCAGCCGGGCAGAAACAGAAGAACCCGAAAATGGAAACCTTGTTAAAAATTTTGGTGCTTTTCTTGTGATGGGATGAAATAGAGGAATTAGTGTAGAATTTATTCTGTAGTGTAAAAATGAAGGGAGTGGGAGATGGAAAAAGAATCTGTGAAGAATTCTCAAATGGGTATTATGGGGTATGTGCAGTTGGTGGAATGCTCAGTGCTGGAACTACCCATGTTGCCATCACCCCTCTTGATGTCCTCAAAGTCAATATGCAGGTACGTCTGCATAAAAAGAACGACAAATAAGCACAAAAATTTCTTTTTTGTAATGTGTTTGTAGGAGAAACAAGAAAAAAAAAAATTGTATTTTTGTGGGCTTCAAGGTTTTCTTTTTCAATTTCATTGGTCATTGTTGGAGATCGTAATGATGTTTGCTTTATGGGCCTTTTTTGGTGAAGCTTGCAGCTTGTAGTGGGTCTTTTGTATTTTTTGGTGGCTCTAATTGATTCTAGTGTGGCTATTTTGTTGAATGAGGACTAAGGAATGTGTTTTTGCTGTCCCTCCAAAAATATTAATCTGGCATAACTCTGCTTGCATTTTAGAAGCATGATGCTGATATTTGTGAGCTCTAGCATTTATACTTGGTGATGGCATGCTAAGTTGGTATTTCCAGTTAAGGGGGAGAAACTGGAAGAAAGGCACGGTAGACGGGCTTTGTGATTCGCTGTTGAGGCTGTTGCAATAAGCGAGACTAGGTTAACCCGATGATCAGGCAATGTATTATTGATTATCTAATGGATGTTTCCGCTCTAATGCTCTACCCAAGAGTTATCAGTATATATAAAAAAGTGTGACTATCTAATAAATTGCTGTTGGTGACATTACTGTTGTGAAATATCCAAGTGCATTGGCTTATATTAATACTAGGTATTCAGTGGAAGTTGGTTATTCACGTTATGAATTGCAAACCTGTATAAGTTATTATCTTACTAGTTTGCTCTTTTCTTTTTCTATTTTGATTCATGCAGCGATTTTTATCTTTATATATACATCTGTCTTTAGCAGTCCTAAAGTTTTTACCAGTTATACAGTGATCGGAGTTCATGATAGCCTTAGAGAATGTAAACTCGCTGCTGTTTTCTGTGGACATTATTCCAGCTTTCTTATTAATAGACAGCTGCTCTGTAGATCTGTCTGACCAAATTTGCTATATATCTTCTGTTTTGTTCTCTCAAAAATTCTCTAACCTGGAATACTCTTTTCTCCTGATCAGTGGAATCTTATGTCTTTGATTCCAATGATTTTTTTTTTTTGGTTGGTTTTCTTACTTTTATCCGAAGCTGTTGAAGTTGAACTAATGAAAAAACACAAATTGTACTTATTAGGTGTATCCTATTAAGTACCAAAGCATTTCAACATCTTTCACCACTCTACTAAGGGAGCAAGGCCCTTCAGCATTTTGGAGAGGCTGGGCTGGGAAATTCTTTGGTTATGGTATGCAAGGTGCTTGCAGATTTGGCCTGTATGAATACTTCAACAAGGTTTACTCAAATGTTCTGGTGGATCAGAACAAGGGCTTGATCTTTTTGCTCAGCAGCATGTCTGCTGAAGTAATTGCAAATGTGGCTCTCTGCCCTTTTGAGGCCATTAAAGTTCGGGTCCAAGCACAGCCTCATTATGCGAAGGGTTTGGCAGATGGTTTTCCAAAGCTGTACATGTCAGAAGGACTTCGTGGGTATAGACCTACAACATCATGAACTTGTTCATTCACATAAAATCCTATTTTTCTGTTTAATATTTACTGGAAGAATTACACCTTAGCTCTCCTTTGTTTCCATTTTCAGCTTATTCAGAGGACTTATTCCACTGTGGGGTCGTAATCTACCATGTAATTTCTAACTTCATTTATACTTTATTTTGTAATGTAATAGCGCTTGAACTTTTGAACTTCTTGTTCATGTTTGGTAAGTTACAAGGCTTCAAGTGGAGAAATATTAACATTTTACAATAGATAGTTTATATGTCCTTTTCATACATCTGAACCAGCACTCTGACATTGGAAGAGGATAATTATCAATGACATTGCACATTATTGAATATTGAATCACATTGCAGCTGTTGCTATTTCCCTCAAATGATACATCATTACATACAAAGACAGATTCAGGTAGAAACTGCTTCACACAAGTTGGGAATAATGGCGCACATAACTCCTTATAGTTGTAGATGTACGATGGAGAGTGGGGCTTACAAAAGAGTATGACAAATTATGTGTAGTTTATTCATTTCATCTCCAAATATTTGTGCAGTCTCAGTGGTCATGTTTTCGACATTTGAGCATTCGGTGGACTTTTTGTATCGAAAAGTAATGCAAATGAAAAAGGAAGATTGTACGAAAGCTCAACAGCTCGGAGTAACGTGCTTGGCTGGATATGCTGCTGGATCTGTTGGTAGCATTGTTTCCAATCCTGCTGACAACATTGTTGCCTCTCTTAACAACAAGAAAGCCAATAGCCTTAAGCAGGTGATCTCCACCTATGTTGTTTCTCTGTACAAAATCTAACCACTTATGCAGCTCTATGCTTAATATTGTCGTTTATGTTACCAGGCTGTGAAGAGAATTGGGTTTGTTAATCTATTTACAAGAAGTCTTCCAATTAGGATTATGCTGGTTGGGCCTGTTGTGACTTTGCAATGGTTTTTCTATGACACCATTAAAGTGTTGAATGGATTGTAAGTTATTCTTCATCTTTATATTTGACTCAATTTGTCTTTTACCAACCTTTTTGCTGCAGTTTTACCTTTTTCACAATCTTAAGTGGGTAAAATTTCCAGGGGTGTGGGAAAATAAGTTTGGATGTCTATCTGTTGCTAATTGTATGTACTCATTCTGAAAAAATTTTGAGCTGTTATTGTTTGTATGGCATAAATAGAAATGGATAAATTGCTGAAGAAGTCGTTAAAATCTTCTTGTTACGTGGACGGTTATAATAAATTGGCATTTTAAATCTTGTGTTAAAAGGGCTGATGACTATAACAAATAGTACCTGTATCTTTCTTTCTTCTTGCACTCGTGCCTTTATATTTTTTCATATATGTCGAAAACATATCCAACTGTTGTAGAAATTAATTTGCACTTGAACATTACAGGCCAACAAGTGGACATGTTAGAACAGAAGAAAGGAACACAGCAAAAACACATTTGAATGCTCCAGCTGAATAGTGGTGTACATTTTGTTTACCGGATTATATACTGATCTAGTTAGCACAGTTCTCAATTGTTTTGGTATGCTGCCTGCTCTTTTGTTGCCAGGGGTTACTATCCTCGAGCCCTGTGCAAGCAAAACATCTTTTGTTGAGATCCATGCTTCCAATTGCTCATAACTTTCTTACAGCCCATGTATATTCTGAGACAAAACTGTTGGCATATTCTATTGTAGTTGATGAACTGATACTGGAAATGGAAAATTTGACAACAGCTGAAGCGGATATGAAGACTGTTGACATGCTCTGGGTTTTAGTTTCAGGTGGCTGACTCGTTTGTAACTTGCATTTCAATGTTTTCATATTTAAATATGCAGTTTTACCTTGTTCCATACCTAAATCTGGAGATAGATATCAACTGTTACAATTGATCAATCTCCAGCTATTTTATGAGTTCTTCTATCACTCTATTATTGCATGATTTTCCTCATGCATGCACTGTTGTGTATGCACCTATTAGGCTATTACCTTGCACAGGGCGGTACACTTGCATGGTTAGTGCTGTAAAACAGAACAGAATGGCTATGTAGGTCATAGAAGGTACCACACACCATTATTGTTTGTGGAAGATTATCGTGCTGGGCTATACGCACATGAATTACAGGATAGAAATATGGGCTATCTGCACATGAATTGCAGGACTGAAATAGGAAAGAACACAGCATTCGCCAGGTTACTTCACAGACCCTCTGCATTTGATAAAGAGAGGATATGGGACATTTGTAGGTCGTGAAATCCACAAGCCATGTGCGGACGTGTTTAAGCTATAATGCCTATGTCCCGAATTGGCCACAAGTGGAATGACTTGTGTCGAAGAACTGCAAATTTTCAAGCATTAACCACTTTTTTTTTTAATCTTTTCCACCCTTCCCCCTCATTGATCCAGCTAAGAATCCAATCATGGATGAGTTGCTCCAAAACTCTCTCCCCCGTGTTCTTTTTTTTTTTTCCCTTTTTTCTAATCCATTTTAAGTTTGTCAAAATTAGACTGCTATGCTTTGTTAAGAACATTAACCACCACCAGCAGATCATTCCTTCCTAGCGCCATTTCCCGAAACACAGAAAAGGAACACCCACTGGTTGGACTTATATTGCATTAGGGAACAATCAGCCACAGGTAATTCAATTAACCAAGAGAAGCAACTTTCCCTATCGATGGCAAAAGCTCATACTTACATGCTTCAGTAGAAGCGGAAGCCCAAGAAGGGCCCAGGCAGAAAACATGTCAGTCAACAATTAAACGCACAAACCCAGAATGCTTAAACAATAAAGAAAACACACACACGCACAAACATGATGATTCACCAAGAGGAACAGAGTGGCCATCACTCAGGCCAAGTAAACAAATTCAAAATACAGAATTCCTTTTGCTTAAAATTGTAGTTGACTCGCGAACACAGTAATTTACCAGGGGAGCTATAATTCCTGTATAAGAGACACTCATTGATACACTCAACTTGGGCATGCAGCTCATACATAGCTGTCAATCAATGACTTCCTCATCTCATCAACAATGGCACTAGGTTGAGCTTCTCTTAACTTGAAAACGCTCTCTATAACAGACAATTCTGTTGCGGTAGTGTCAGATCCACAAAAGGCTGTCCAGTCATTAACTGTCAGGCCAGCAGCGATTACTTCACTACCACGATTCACTGTCCCTGCCACCAGTGGAACCTGTAGGAGCGTAGAGAGTTCATCTAGGTCCTCTATGGACGTATGAGGATGCACCTGAGCAACAACAGATTCAGTGAGAAACAGACACGTGCTCTTAACTCTAACTTCATATTTCATTAGCACAAATCACAGAATTAAGGAGTTTTATATCCGTTCAAATGTTCACTAAGTACAAGGTGCACTGCTTACCAGGCCACCCCTATTTGAAAATGCACAATAGCTGCCCACCAAAATATTTCCAGCAATTGTCTGTCTAAAAACTTCTACTCCAAGAACATCTGCAATCATCTCCTCAGTTTCCTATGAGAAGACACAGCACACCAAAATTACCAGCTTAATCAATGATTAAAATAAGCTCATTTTGATTTAGACAGTATATCATGCTCTACCCTTCCTGAAAAAAGTTATAACCAGACAGAGAAAAGCTGAATAATTAGCATAAAATTAATAAGGTAGATTCCAAGTGAAATATCAAATTGCCATTGAAGAAGCAAAATTTGAAACAAGTGCAGAAAGCATCCAGCTGAATATCACCACAACCTATTTGAGGCTTTTACCAAGAGGGAAATGCATGCATACAACAAGAACTGCTGTCAGCATTGAGAAGCATGCATAGACTTCAGATTTGTCACATGACAGGCATAGGATGTACAGGCATATAGATAAACATAGGGAGGAAGAGTCTAGATGACACATGCAAGTGTTTCAATCAGGTCAATTGCATTCCCAGACAATATAAGAATTGGAAAAGCACTGCTTTATTAGGTATAGCAAAATTGCCACTAACTTTTTCACATAAGATATATGGTATCCAAATCATTAAGCATGTTATTATCAAGGGAAAGGACAATATTACCCTGTCGAGATCGGTGTGTGTAAGTGCAACATGATCGTTGCAGGCAATGCAGTTTCCCAATGCAGAAAGTCTCTCATCAATGCGCTGAACAACAACTGAATCTGGTAGACTATTCCTCAAATGCTGAAGTTCTTTATCACATATAATGTAAATCAAAGTCAGAACCTTGAAAGTCCATAACACATCCACAAGCAAAGGTAGATAATTCTCATATGCACCACAACTTTTTTACGAACAAATAGTGATCTTATGATGACATGTAATACGTCATCAATTAAATCCAACAAAAACATGGTCAACCAACCCAAGAAGAAGACAAATGAAAAAGGAAAAGAACAAAGATTATACATTGCACAGTGTAGCTGAATATCAATACTTGAAAGGAAAATTATTTGCTTAAAAATTTTAAAGCTGTGAATCAAAAGATACACAATAACTGTACTAGCAACAAGTTCATGAAGTTGTTACCTTGATCGGTGGTAGTATGCGGTAAGAGAAGCCCATTCTTGTTTCCTAAATGAAAAAAGGGGGAAAGTTATCCTATCTAAACAGTCATTCCAATGGTACTCATGTCTCTACAAGCAAAATAACTCTAAGAGCCTTCTAAAGTCCTCACCAGCACAAAGTCTTCCAATGATCCTAGTGCCACCAATCGCGGTCTTCACTACCGGAATTACATCAGCCAATTCTGCCTCAAACGTACTACAATACACAATATATAGGTTACACACAAGAAAAAAGATTTGCTGAAGAAAAAGGGAAAATAAATTTTATCATGTTAGTAGAGTAGCTTGAAGCGAACCTGTAGAAGTTCTCAGAACCTCCAATGGCGACCAAGCAATAAGCATTGGTCAACTTAGAAAAAACTCCAACTTCGCATGAATTCTCAAATTGCAATCCTAAAATTAAAAGCAACGATAATAATTATGATATTAAAGGAACAATTTTCACGCCATAAATCAGCTAAAATCAATTCTTTTTTTTAACTCAATGACTTATTTGAACTGGAATACTCACTGGTAGCCATGATTCCAAGGATATCAAACAAATATAAACACCTACTCGATATTAGATCTGAAAAGGGAAAAAATCCAAGAAGAAAGGATTGAACATGGAAAGAAAGAATAAAAAGCAGGAACAAATAAGAATAATAATGAAATCAATTACGGAATTCTTACAATCAAGAAATCGAGGTTCTATTGAAAATTCGTAGATTACCTAAAAGGGATTTGCTGGGAGAATGATTTGAACGTTCAGCAGACGCTAATCAACGAGAACAGAAACCCTGATTAGTGTTTTAGGGTTAGGGCTTATAACCAAGTCAAAATAAAGAATCCAAACGGTGAGAGGCTGAGAGCTGTTTTGTTTTCCTGGCTTTCCCCCTCTCTTTTATTTATTATTTTTTTTTGGCGATAATTTGCGGAGGTTGTTTGGAGCCAGACGCTGAAAGGGCCTTATATGAAGGCCCCTTGTATGTCGCTGTTGAGGATTCAACTTCTCGACCAGTTTGGGCCAGATTTATTTATTCCCCTTTCGGCCCACGCGGAAACTTCACCCTTGTATCCCAAGAAAAAAAAAAAATTTCTCATCTTTGAAATCAACATTGACAGTCAACATATTAGACATCTCACGTCATTTCTTGTGAAGAACGTTGAAAGCTTGATGATCAAGAAAAGTTGGATGTGAGCAGGCACATATTTGTAGTATTGGTTTGTTGCATATAATTTCACATGGGTTTTGAAATCTACCCTGATGGAGTTATTTTCTAACTACTTTGTTTTTGTACTTTGTATTTAAAGAATCATACAAATACAGCCAAAAAATAGATTGTCCATTAGCATAATTCAAAACTCATTTTGTATAATTTATGCCTTCAGCTTCTTCAAAATCATGCTAATTGCCAGTCATTCTTTGCGACAAATTCAGAACATGTAATTAGGTAAACTCAGCGTATTTAACCAAATGCTATCTCTTCCTTTAAAATTGTCTTACCAAATATGCCAGGTTAAGTCTGAGTCTCAAAAGATTCAGGCACTATTTGGATTGAGGGAATGGGAGAGGAATCGAAGAAATTTGGTTTTTGTTGTTTGGATTGACTTTTAAGTAGGGAAAGGGTCTAATAATTTTGTCGAAATATGGTTTTCACTCAAAAATGGGCGGAAACGAGGGAAATGAAAATAAATTAATTTCAATAATTTTAAATTTTTTTAAAAAAGATCAATTTTGTCTATATTTTCTGGTAATTAAATACTTGGTCTTTTACTTTCCTTTCTCTTCCTCTTCAATCCAAACAAAAAATTAGTATTTTCTTTCATTTCCTTCCATACTTAATCCAAACAAAATAGATGGACATCACTTTTCTCTACTCTCCTTTCTTTTCTTTTCCATTAGTATCCTTTTCTTTCCCTTCCTTTCCGTCAATCCAAACGGTGCCTTAGAAATTATGGGATTAATCGAATTCAGCCTTGGGCATGCAAGCAAAAAATACATCTCCGAGTTGTATTCATGTAGCCAAGTATACAACCTTTGGCCTTCGATTGACCAATCCAAGTCCAGCCTTTTATCCTTGAAGACCAAAAACAAATAGGAAAAATTTTTAAAGGAATAGGAAATCCTCCGTGCTCCAGTGCAATATTCTTATGAGAATTGAAAATGAGAGAGAGCTTGTATTCTATATGCGCATTATGTCGACATGATCATGAATGTTATTGTTGCAGTATCGTTGCTCAGCATCCTGAGAATGATGAAAATCTCACAAAACCCAATATTTACAACAAAAGAATAGCCACAGAACTTTTTTTTAAAAAAAAAATTTAAACAAAAACAATGAAAACATAGAACAGGCCAGACTGATGATCGATCAAAATCACCCATTACTACATAAAATTCGAGAATTTAAAATCGTTCTGATGCCCGTATCTGCAAGTGAAAGATTGGCTTCGAAAGTATTCCACCTCCTCTTGTTGCCACTTTCCATCATCAAAGTTCTTAGAGCAGCTAAAGCTATCATATATAATTCAACAGCTCGTGTCTTTCGCTTTCCTTTGCACACGATGACTTCTTTAGAACTACCTACTCCTTCAGCTGTGGTGGCCTGGATTAGCCTCTCCAATAGATGTTTTATTGTACTCAGCCTTCCATTGGCTCCAAAGAAGTTACTGCCATGAACCATCTTTCTGGTTCATGCTAACTTGTTCAAGTGATTTCTTTTCCATCGCAAACAGAATTGTTTCACCAAAAGTTACTTATACCATGGTCCTGGAGGCAGTGAAATAAAAGAAGATTCCACATGTTTTTCCCTTATCACAATGCATTAGTGATTAGCCACCCACCCAGGACTATTCATCTCCCTAACCTGGAGTAAATAGCTTTTTGTAAAAAAGATGAACCCTAGAAATCTTCACCAACCACTACTTTCCATAATGCCAAATCCATATCTCCATCCCAACCATTTTATATTTCATCTGCATTACTATTAACATCAAGGGGTTCATTCATACAACAGTTCCCAGAGTTAAGACTTAGGAATTGAGACAAATTTAGTACAGCACAAAATCACAAATTCACCTCTAGATATTCATAGCATCTAGCTTCATTTTAAAGCAACAACTCGGCAGAATGCACAGAAATAAGCTTAAAATGCGAGCAAAAAAGTTAAGGTGGTGCTTATGTTATAAGAAAGGTACATGCCAAAAGCTACAGTGGCGGCGGAGACGGAGTCGCGTAATAGGCGGATGGGGACGGTGGTGGAGAGCTTGAATGCGCTCGCGGGATCATCTGAGCTCATAATCAAAGCCGCACCGGCTCCGCCTCCCGCGGCTGTGGCCGCCATCAACAGTTTCGCTCTGGTGCGCCACACCGATCTCACCGCCATTTATTGGCCTTCCTTTTTAATTTTTTTCCCCTTGTCCCCGCCTTTTGATTGGCTTCGGGTTTTTATTTAGAACTCCAAGAAAACGGGGTGGACAGAGGCGAAACTTCCTCTATTATCCACATATCTTCTGACAGCAGCTGAAGCGGATATGAAGACTGTTGACACGCTCTGGGTTTTAGTTTCGGGTGGCTGACTCGTTTGTAACTTGCATTTCATTGTTTTCATATTTAAATATGCAGTTTTACCTTGTTCCACACCTAAATCTGGAGATAGATATCAACTGTTACGATTGATCAATCTCCAGCTTTTTTATGAGTTCTTCTATCACTCTATTGTTTCATGATTTTCCTCGCGCATGCACTGTTGTGTATGCACCTATTAGGCTATTACCTTGCATGGTTAGTGCTGTAGAACAGAACAGAATGGCTATGTAGGTCATAGAAGGTACCACACACCATTATTGTTTGTGGAGGATTATCGTGCACATGAATTACAGGATAGAAATATGGGTTATCTGCACATGAATTGCAGGCAGGACTGAAATAGGAAAGAACACAGCCTTCGCCAGGTTACTTCACAGACCTCTGCATTTGATAAAGAGAGAATATGGGACATTTGTAGATCTTGAAATCCCCAAGCCTTGTGTGGACGTGTTTAAGTTATAATGCCTTTGTCCCGAATGAGCCACAAGCGGACATCGTGTTATAGAATGACTTGTGTCGAAGAACTGCAAATTTTCAAGCATTAACCAAAATTTTTTTTTTCTTTTCAACTCCTCCCACTCATTGATCCAGCTAAGAATCCAATCATGGATAAGTCGATCCAAAGCTCTCTCCCGTGTTCCCTTCTCTTTTTTTTTTCCCTTTTTTCTAATCCATTTTAAGTTTGTCAAAATTAGACTGCTATGCTTTGTTAAGAACATCAACCACCAGCAGCAGATCATTCCTTCCTAGCGCCATTTCCAGAAACATAGAAAAGGAACACCCACTGGTTGGACTTATATTGCATTAGGGAGCAATCAGCCACAGGTAATTCAATTAACCAAGAGAAGCAACTTTCCCTGTAGATGGCAAAAGCTCATACTTAAGTAGAAGCGGAAGCCCGAGAAGGCCCAAGGCAGACAACATGTCAGTCAACAATTAAACGTACAAACCCAGAATGCTTAAACAATAAAGAAAACACACACACACACAAACATGATGATTCACCAAGAGGAACAGAGTGGCCATCACTCAGGACAAGTAAACAATTTCAAAATACAGAATTCCTTTTGCTTAAAATTGTAGTTGACTCACGAATACAGTAATTTACCAGGGGAGACAGCATAATCATTAAAAAAAAAAAAGGAAAAAGAAGAGAGAAAGAAAAAACATACAATGTAAGTAAGAACAGGAGCTATAATTCCTGTATAAGAGACACTCATTGATACACTCAACTTGGGCATGCAGCTCATACATAGCTGTCAATCAATGACTTCCTCATCTCATCAACAATGGCACTAGGTTGAGCTTCTCTTAACTTGAAAACGCTCTCTATAACAGACAATTCTGTTGCGGTAGTGTCAGATCCACAAAAGGCTGTCCAGTCATTAACTGTCAGGCAAGCAGCGATTACTTCACTACCACGATTCGCTGTCCCTGCCACCAGTGGAACCTGTAGGAGCGTAGAGAGTTCATCTAGGTCCTCTATGGACGTATGAGGATGCACCTGAGCAACAACAGATTTCAGTGAGAAACAGACACGTGCTCTTAACTCTAACTTCATATTTCATTAGCATAAATCACAGAATGGAGGAGTTTTATATTCGTTCTAATGTTCACTAAGTTCAAGGTGCACTGCTTACCAGGCCACCCCTATTTGAAAATGCACAGTAGCTGCCCACCAAAATATTTCCAGCAATTGTCTGTCTAAAAACTTCTACTCCGAGAACATCTGCAATCATCTCCTCAGTTTCCTATGAGAAGACACAGCACACCAAAATTACCAGCTTAATCAATGATTAAAATAAGCTCATTTTGATTTATAATGATTAAAATAAGCTCATTTTGATTTATACGGTATATCATGCCTTACCCTTCCTGAAAAAAGTTATAACCAGACAAAGAAAAGCTGAATAATTAGCATAACATTAATAAGGTAGCTTCCAAGTGAAATATCAAATTGCCATTGAAGAAGCAAAATTTGAAACAAGTGCAGAAAGAATCCAGTTGAATATCACCGCAACCTATTTGAGGCTTTTACCAAGAGGGAAATGCATGCATATGACAAGAACTGCAGTCAGCATTGAGAAGCTTCCATAGACTTCAGATTTGTCACATGACAGGCACAGGATGTGCACGGATATAGATAGACATAGGGAGGAAGAGTCTAGATGACACATGCAAGCGTTTCAATCAGGTCAATTGCATTCCCAGACGGTATAAGAATAGGAAAAGCACTGCTTTATTAGGTAGAGCAAAATTGCCACTAACTTTTTCACGTAAAATATATGGTATCCATATCATTAAGCATGTTATTATCAAGGGAAAGGACAATCTTACCCTGTCGAGATCGGTGTGTGTAAGTGCAACATGATCATTGCAGGCAATGCAGTTTCCCAATGCAGAAAGTCTCTCCTCAATGCGCTGAACAACAACGGAATCTGGTAGACTATTCCTCAAATGCTGAAGTTCTTTATCACACATAATGTAAATCAAAGTCAGAACCTTGAAAGTCCATAACACATCCACAAGCAAAGGTAGATAATTCTCATACGCACCACAACTCTTTTACGAACAAATAGTGATCTTATGATGACATCTAATACATCATCAATTAAATCCAACAAAAACATGGTCAACCAACCCAAGAAGAAGACAAATGAAAAAGGAAAAGAACAAAGATTATACATTGCACTGTGTAGCTGAATCTCAATACTTGAAAGGAAAATTTCTTGCTTAAAATTTTAAAGTTAAGAATCAAAAGATACACAATAACTGTACTAGCAACAATTTCATAAAGTTGTTACCTTGATCGGTGGTAGTATGCGGTAAGAGAAGCCCATTCTTGTTTCCTAAATGAAAAAAGGGGGAAAGAAAAGGTTAGGTTATCCTACCTAAACAGTCATTCCAATGGTACTCGTGTCTCTACAAGCAAAATAACTCTAAGAGCCTTCTAAAGTTCTCACCAGCACAAAGTCTTCCAATGATCCTAGTGCCACCAATTGCGGTCTTCACTACCGGAATTACATCAGCCAATTCTGCCTCAAACGTACTACAATACACAGTATAAAGGTTACACACAAGAAAAAAGATTTGCTGAAGAAAAAGGGAAGATAAATTTTATCATGTTAGTAGCTTGAAGCGAACCTGTAGAAGTTCTCAGAACCTCCAATGGCGACCAAGCAATAAGCATTGGTCAGCTTAGAAAAAACTCCAACTTCACATGAATTCTCAAATTGCAATCCTAAAATTAAAAGCAACGATAATAATTATGATAATAAAGGAACAATTTTCACGCCATAAATCAGCTAAAATCAATTCTTTTTTTTAACTCAATGACTTATTTGAACTGGAATACTCACTGGTAGCCATGATTCCAAGGATATCAAACAAATATAAACACCTACTCGATATTAGATCTGAAAAGGGAAAAAATCAAAGAAGAAAGGATTGAACATGGAAAGAAAGAATAAAAAGCAGGAACAAATAAGAATAATAATGAAATCAATTACGGAATTCTTACAATCAAGAAATCGAGGTTCTATTGAAAATTCGTAGATTACCTAAAAGGGATTTGCTGGGAGAACGATTTGAACGTTGAGCAGAGCTAATCAACGAGAACAGAACCCTGATTAGGGTTTTAGGGTTAGGGTTTAGGGTTAATTTCACATACCTCCCCTGAAATTTTTAATAATTACAAAAAGCTCCCCTCAAGTTTTAAAAATTACACTTATCTCCCCTATTTTTACTATTTAAATAACATTTTAGACCCAAAAGGCTTTAGCTCTGTTTAGATCCCCTATTTTTGGAAGTGTTTTTTCAAATAATTTACTGTAGCAGTTTTTGAAATACAGTTGATGTCGTTTGGATATGCTGTTTTTCAAAAACTAGTTTTTGAAAAACTTTTGCGTTTGGATTGATCTATATTTGAAAAACAACTAAAGTGCAATGGATTAAAAACATTCGCTGGTAAGCTACTTCCTCCCCTCTAATCATGGAAATGCCTTAAAACTGGGCAAATTTCATTTCAGGTGATTACAATCCGAGGCTTTAATGACCTACCATGCAATTCATTATACCCATGTTTGGCCTTTTCATGGTGACTATTGAGTAAAAGTTTGGTGATTGATAAGTTTTGTAGACAATCATTCAAAAAAATGGAAGTCCCCTGTAACGAGTTGTAATATCTGTCATAAAAGCGAATTTTAAGGGACTAGTATTACTATTAAGGGTGGAGGAGATATGAAAAGTTTGTAATCGAGTACAATTCATTACTAATTGATACCTTACACAATAAATTTGCATGAATAACTCAAAAGAAATATAATCCATGAGCCTACTTAGCATGTTATTGTCTAGGTAGCTGACAATCTGGACCTAGGCCAGGGGCCAATTGCTAGTTTTGTCCAGTGACATACATGTGAGCTGCTATTGCCCGTCAATCTTCATTCCAGTTATCTATGCCCTGTTACGACATATCGATTGGTTGGACCCCCTGGACTTGATTCCCTGCTACCTGTGCATCTGCAAAGTCTCCGAAGGTAGCTTCTTCATTGAAGTATAGATCATTGGGTGAATGATCTCGAATGAAGTTGTGGAGAGTACAGCATGCCAGCACAATATTATTTTGAATTGCTATTAGGTAGTTTTGTATTGGACCTCTGAGTGTTGGAAAATGCCTCTTTAGAACTCCAAAAGTACGTTCAATAATATTTCGAAATGAAGCATGTCGCCGGTTGAACAAAACTTTAGCTGCTCGTTCATACTGTGTGCCCCGAGTGCCCCTAAACGGTGCCATAAACTCAGACATGTTTGTGTAAGCAGCATCCACCGCATAGTATTTCCCTGGCAGCCAATGCATGAAATGATAGTCAGCATAGGTCCTCAATTTACAGAAAAAACAACCGAACTCGTGGCATCTATTAAATATTTGCTAATGCCATAACTAGTGAAAATATTTGTTGAGTTTCTGAACTTGGCAAGTGACATACCTAATTGTGGCATTGAAAATCCCGAATTTGGATCAAGCAAGGTGTTTTGGAGAATCCTACCATCGTGGGCACTGCCCTCCCAACCGACTCGAGCATAAACAAATCGCATATCATAATTGCAAGTCGCTAGCATATTTTGAGATAACCCACCATGCCTATTTATGTACCTCTCTCTTATCTCTGTTGTGCACCAAGCGGAGACGTGGGTTCCTTCTAAGGCTCCAACACAATCCTACATATTTGAGGGTGATAGTTATAAATTACTAAAACAATTATTCATAATAATTAGTAGACAAGAGATGATGTGGTTATTTACCTTGAACCACGGCCAGAATTGTCCATTGTGCATGATTCTGGGGTATGTGTCATCGAAGTTTCTTAGCCTAACGAGATCACGACCAAGTCGCACCAATCCTCATAGAACATGACGTACATGTCGATCAATTGTCTCTATGGAATGCTGGAACCGCTCTACTAGAACTCAATGCCGCTCATCATGGCTCAGGCACATTAGCGTTAAAACAACGGACTCATGAACGCCAACCCTCTGAGAAGGATATGCATGCCAGTAATCACGCTCAACCAATAGATCGCACAAATGTAGGAAGAGGGGAACATCCATGCGCATGTTCTCGATAATTCGATCTCGATGACCGTTTATCAACTCAAGCACATAATCCCTACCGGAGAGTGAACTATCTCGGACTCTTCTTCTTCTCGGAACAAGATTAATGAACGGGTCAAAGAAAATAAAGCCAAGTAGCACAACCGCCATAAGGATATTGTCCAGGTCAATATCGTCTCTCTCGTCGTCCAAGTATCCGCCCTGAATGTGCATGTGGTTATCCATGAAGTTGGCTCCACCTTGAGCTATAAAATCTAAGTGATACCCTGCACATTTATGTCCCAAAAAATAGAAAATAGTTGTCAAAACTGTCCAATCTATCAAGAAGAACCAGTTTTATACATAACAAAACTGTCGTAAAACAACAAAAAAATTGAAATGTACATTTGCACAATTTTATAATTAACGATAACAACCTGTACTTTACTACATAAACCAGGCTATTTATTAAGCCCATACCATAATATATCAAATAGGATTAAAAAGTCAAAAGATGAGGCTGCAGATTATAAAAAAAGATAAACTTAAATGCATTGACAAGTATTATATAGTTAGTCCATCCAGCGAAGGGTCAAACAAGCCATAGTTAAACTCTCTCCCTCAAAACAAAGCGACAGGAAGAGGTAGAAAAAAAAATAGCGATTAGCAAACGTGGCAACATCCTTTCATTTGACAACCAGGAAAAAATTAAGAAAGCTAAATCCAAACTGTCAACTCCGATACAGTGGTATAACCACGCTTCACATGACAAACTCAAACTCAAATATATGCCAAGGCATCACTCATAGTCACGTCGGAAAAATGAACACAAATAATGATCACTCTCATAAGGAAAAAAAATTATAAAATGGAAACCGTGAACGTCTACAGTGGGGGTAGAAACCCTCGGTGTCTAACAAACGCAAGATGGTCAACATCTGTCCTGCAGGTGAACCAAATGGCCTGTTCCGAAGGGTCCTTTAAGACATCAGCAACCTTCAGGTGCACATTAATGTCCTGGTTCAGGGCGCTGAGCTCTGCCAAGGCAGTTTTTATCTCGGCATCAGCATCGAAGGGAGGATATGCAGTCTTCGATGGCCCTTCGATGGTGAAGAGACTGAACCACTCATGCTACTGCTCTTTTTGCAACTCAAATGGGTCTTAAGGCTGTCTAGGACACGGATGTACTAATGGAATTGGGGGGATGAACCTGAGAAGAACGACTCGGTCGACATGTCGCTCGATTTGCGCTTTCCTTTGCCCTTCTTCATTTTTCCTTTCCCTTTCCTAGTCGCCGACACAGGTTCTTCTTCCTCCAATGGACCGATATCTACAACGTTCTTTCCCCTACCACGTCTAACAGCATTTTTCATTTCCAACTCGTCTTGTGAGTTGGGAGGTAATACTCCATGTTCGGCGCTGAAGTTCCCAGTAGTCCCCTGATTCATGAAAACTTCTTCAAGTAAATGGAAGACAAGGCATAATCTGTCATAAAATCTTTCGTAGCCCTTGTTCACCTACATCAAATGGAAGTATTTTAAATAATAAAGCATAAAACAGTCAAGTCGAAACACGAGGAATAATGAAATGATATTGAATAGGAAAAATTGGAGAAAATTATGGTACCTGAAGTAGATGACTCCAACGGTCATCGTCTATCATGAAATTATACTTGGCGGAGTCCCAACACATACCAGTGCCACGTCTCTTAAATGAAATATACAGCCGGGTCAAGGACTGAAGTGCATTGTATTTCGACCGAATAGTGTTGGTGGGAAATGAAGTGTCAAACGTGTCATTAAGCATGCTAGCAATCCCGGGCACGACACGACTCCCGATGTTATGAGCGGATATGTCTCCGTTCCTATGCATATGGACAAGATATTGGACGAATGCAATTTCATGTTCTGGGGTAAAAGTGTTACGTTTTGTATACTTTGCGCTCGGTCGACTCATCTTTTTTTTTCTTTAAGATGCCCAAACCAAAAACAAAAACGGTGGGAAAAAAAACTTAGGATGAAGTCACATTGATATATATAATGATCTAAGGCAATCGAACAACCCGATTAAGTACAGGATATTCCGTCTAAGTCACCTTGAAGTAGTTAGTGAGACAAAATTGCAAATCGTTTTCTCTCTAAGCGAACTTCGAAGGACAAGTGCTAAATTCCCTACTTCTTTGGAAAGTTGTGAATAAGTCATCAAACTTATCACCAATTATAGCACACTAATACTACGAAAAAATTAGACAAGAGACAACAGTCCATACCCTTCCAAGCACGCCGAGTCACAGGGGGCATGTAATTGCACTAGGGTTCCTCCAAAGGATCACCTAAATTGACGACCTCAAAGTGAAGTCGGACACCGAAGTTATAAAGATATAGGGGGAACAACCCGGAATGTCAAACAGTATTTCCCAAAAAAAATTAGAGCAAATTAGAGTATTCTTGAACTTGTATCATCCAAACATAAGCACAGATTACAAAAAACTAGTATGCATTTGCATCCCATATTTTGATCTCTCAACTTGTCAGCAACTACAACTCTACTGATGACTATTGTAACGCAGGGAAAACTACCATGCAATATCCTTAATAAACCACAATTCTTTCAGCATATAATTACAACCCAATTCTAGCAGCAGGTTTGTTAAACCAACTTTGCACAAAAGGCAGCTTTAATAACTAATACACAGAGGAGGAAAACGAATTGCAGACCTAACAGAAATTCGTTGTCCAGTTTCAGAAATTGCAATTCCCTAGTACCTAGTTTTAGGCCAAACAGCAATTCGTGTCTAAGCAAACAACAATTTAGCCTACATCAGATAATTTCGCAAAATACAGTCACACTTTTTCTGTAGAACTTCAGCATCCAAATACCTAATCCAAACTATAGGAATACAAATTGAATAAATTAAATATAGTTCTTAGGCACAATAATTAAATAATTAACTAAAACTTTCAATTAACATTAACTTCATACGAAGATAAGCAAAAAACATTCACTGGTAGTTGCTGGCCAGCAAACACATGAGAAAGCCCGGAATGTTTAGTCAGTATTTGACTTGAATAACTGATGAGAAAGTAGGAATATCCATGCTAGACTACTGGAACGAGACAACAGACACACAATATGAACTAAAATAACAAACTCAGAAACAAAATACCGACCGAAGGTTTTCGAACAGAAGCAGTAGAAGAACGAGTATTGAAGTTGTTATATGAACATGCTACTGTCCATCATTTCTCATACTAAACTAATGAATAATAAATAATGACTCTAGCTGATTAGTCAAAAATTTTGAGAGAAACAGCTACAATGGTGCCCCAAATTAAGAAGCCCTAATTCATACAGAAACAGGGAATTGAATTACCTCCTACGAATCGAAATGGGGGATTACACAAGCCTGAGGTGCACTGAGCAAGGTACGATAACAGCCGTGTTATGCTACACGTGAAGAAGCAGGCGCCGTTCTTTGAACCACCTCCTCTCTAGCCGAACTCTGTTGCTGCGAGAAAAATCATGGAACAGCTCACGATTCACTCTATTGCTATTAACTAATTTTTGGGGGCAGTCAGCAATTAATCCAATGTGCTGCATCACGGGAGAGCTGACAAGTTGCTGGAACTTGGCATGCGCTTTCATCGACGGAGATTTCACCAACTAAGCTCTCGGCCGCAGTAATAACAATGAGAAAGAAGAAGGAAATGGAGTTGTAGCTTCTACCAAAGGTTTAACAAAACTACACTTGTTTTAGTTACAAAAGGAGAAAACGACGTCGTATGTCTACAGAGGGAACTGCAGACTTTCAACTACAAGATGTTGATTAAGTTGAAGTTTGTTGACAACAAAAACTGGTATTTCAAAAAACGGTGGATCCAAACACACCCTATACTTTTTTCCAAAATTTCTATAATACCCTTGAATTATAATTGATAACAAAAATGTAAAGGAAAAAAATGGTTTACAGTCTCTATTTCATTTATCTTTATTTCCTACAAGAGATGGCAACGGGGCGGGGTTGGGGAAGGGGACCCCTCCCCCATCCCCCACCCCGCTGCCTACAAACTCCCCCCACCCCGTCCCTGCCCCGCCTCGCTTCCCCCGCGGGTGTCCCTGCAGGGTTAATAAAACTTTGTTATATAATTTTATTATGATTAAATTTTAACAAATAATCAAATACTAAAATATCAACACATCATCAAATTATTATTCATTGTAATTTTACAATTGAAACTCATAAAAATAATCAAACAAAAATTATTTGAATACAATCCAACATGATGAAATAAATATAACTAAAGTAGTCAAGTTTTCGCTTTTGGCACAAATACAATCGCTAATTCATTATTATGCTTGTGCTTTTTTTAAGAAAAAATGCTATTGTATTAAATGTAATTAGGGATTTAGTATAAATGTATTAGTAAATTTAGTATAACCAATTAATAATTTCTACTAGTACAAATATATAATTATTGGTATAATTAATAATATCAATTATATTATATATACAAATAGACATTATATAATACATATAACTAATAATATCATTATCATAAGTTTGTAACTAATTAAATTATATACATATATTTATTTTTTTAAAGCGGGTGGGGGGTTTCCCCGCCCCCCCGCCTTGTTTCTAAGCGGGGGGAAAAAAATTCCCACTGCCCCCGCGGGCACCCGCCCCCTTTGCCATCCCTATTTCCTACCACTATTACCTGCTTATTAACATCCAAATTACAATTAAATAAATACTTATCTTTGTTCTAATGTTTCTCTTTTACTTAAAAATTTTCGATACAAATCATTGTATCAACTATAAACGCTATATTATATACCCAAAAACTTATCTACAATTTCATAACAATATCAGATTTTACTTAATATACAATAATATTCATCAATATTCCTAAATTTCAATCCATGACTGTCACTTTTTAAATACAAAATAATCTAAACCATCATTACTAATATCAATATCCAATATATTCCATTGGCACAGAGTTCAAAATCAATCAAATTTTCTCTAAAAGAATAATATTAATAATTGTATATCAAAAATAGAAACACAATGCAGTTATAAATATATGTCAAGAACACCTTTTTTCATGATAACCATAATAGTATAACTTATAAAGGGCATTATTATCTTTTTATCACAACAAGGGAGGTCTCTATAATTATGTAAACTTCAAGGGAGTCGAATGAAATTGTCAAAAATCTCAGGGAGGTTT